AGGGACGTGACATCAAAGTAAACCATGATATCGCTTGGCAGGAGACTTACTCCTTTAAGTTTCTCCAAGAATTGCGTTGACGAGCTGACTGTGGTGTTCGAATCGGAGGTCAGAAACTTGAGACGTTGGAACAGCCACTTTGTGGATACTGCTGAGCGCCTACCAACGGACTATCCCCTCCGCCCTTTCATCGTGAATATAAAATAGAACGTACTAGTGGCCGCCCCTGACTCCCAGAAAGCACTGATTGTCAGGAGACCCTGAGTATATTTCTTTGGCAGCTAACGCTGTTGTCGTTGATGCCCGCGGCGCACCGATGGCCTACCAGGGAAAGCGCACTATCGCCCCCGGGAAAACGAAGCCGGCCCTCGGCCCCCCGCACCACCACGACCATACCTGCTTTTTCAGTTAGTGGAAAACAGACGGTAGTCAATGACCGATCTCGGGCAATTCATTTTTGGATAGCAAGGGCTACTTGAGTAGAGCTGTAATACGGAGTGTCATGCGGCATGGTCGCGGGATATTTTGGACGTGCCTGGATACCCGCTTTTGTGTGCACTTCTTTGCAACCGCACGCAAAAATCGCACTCATTGAAAAAAATGACTACCTCTCTGGAGTGGATTTCCTGCTTTTTCAATGGCCTTCTAGATTCGAATATGTTTATGGAAAACGTGCACAAAAATATTCTTGTTGTACTCCTTTGATAGCAACTCTGTCAAAATTTGTACTCTAAAAAGAGTTATCTTTCGATTTTTTCAGAAATTCCATTCATGAGATTTTTAGGACTGTAAGATGTCCGCTCACACAGCATCGCATCAGCACGATGTGTTTGTGAAGTATACAACACGACCAGCATCCATTGTTAAATTGCATAAGCCCTATATGACGTCTTCTTAATAATGCAGAGGAATGCGTGATTTGCCCTACACGGGGAGCGCATAGTATGGAGTTTTAAATCCTAAGCGCAAGTTGCAGCTGTGGGTCGAGTTCAAAATCGTTTGGAAATGGAAAAAGATACCCTTCCTTAGGCTATAAAATAGGAAGAAATGCTTTGCTATCAAATGAGTACAAGGAGGGATATTTTCGTGCACGCCTCCTACATATCACGTTCGAATATATGCGGGTATCGACGTCATTGGAGGGAATGCATACTACTTAAGTAGCCATTTACTATCGGGTGTGGTTCTCGCAGGCGGCCGAATGAAAATGCATTCAAAAGCCGACATCCCGAAATGAGTGCAATACACTGGGTTTATGTCGCACGGTAGTCACTGTCATAGTCCAACTTGAGTAATTCTTTCTAATCGAAAGCCTATTTCATAATTTCGGTTGGCATTGGTCACTGAGTGCTCGTGGAGTCGTCCACTTCTGCGGCGTCTGGGTCTTCACTGGGGATGCACAGTAGACTAAACGTTTACTTTAGCAATTCCAATCCGGGCCCACACACTCGCCTTGTCTTCTCCCACAAATATCATTCTATTTAATATCCACTTACATTCCAACTGTCCGGACTGATTATTTTCCACCCAGTGGCGTCTACAGGCAATCAGCCCGTAGTTCTTTCTTCGTGGGATACAGTCTCGCCTGCGGATAAATCAATAAAAACAGACTGAAATGCCGGTTCGGACAGCCTTCCAATCCTAGGCTAATGCCCCAGAAAGTCCGCTCACTTGACCCCTCGTAAGTGGTTGGTTGAGCCACTAACGCCTCGAACAGGCATTTGTACAGAATAGACGTGATATTTTCTGGCTGGTCCACCGGTCGTTTTTTGCCTTCGTTCGGTGTTCTCTTGCAGGACAGGCAAAGACGATTTCCTGTGACCCTCTTCCTCCTTATCTTCGCCTAATTAGTCTGACCGTTTTCTCCCATGCACCTGCTTCATGTTTCCTCTTCTTAGGAGTCCTCTGAACTCAGCGGAGGCCATTCAATGGCCCCCAAGGAGGATGCCGCGCAGGACAACACACCCCAGCCGGTGTCCCCTAAAGCGGATCTGAATGATGCCGCACAGAACCATACGCCCCAACCGGCGTCCCCCAAAGTGGATCTGGGTGCTACCGCGCAGGACAACACACCTCAGCCAGTGCCAATGGCCTACCCTATCCGCAAGCGGCAGCGTGCGCGCACCATGCTCTCAGCTTGCCTCCTGGTCTCCTCGGCTTACCTCGGCTCGATTTTCTTCCATGGGGCCTGCATTCCACTGGCCTTCTTTGCGCCCTCCGTCTTCTGCTTCCTCGTCAGCGCCTTTGTACGCCTGTGGACCAAGCTGGTGGAGGTATGTCCGCTGTCTCTGCCTCGCATGCCCTCCCCCCTGCGCTCCGTGCATGCATTCTAGTCCTAGTTCTTATCACAATCATGCATCAGCTTGTCCTAGCTAATCTCCCCCTTCATAGTTCTTGCTTCGTGGGATATAGCCTCGTCAGCGGGTACACACCAATAAAAACAGACTTTCAGCAGAATGGCATTACCGACAAAGACAAGGGAAACTGGAATGGCCATTTCTGGCTTATTAGCCGTCGTCAGCCAGTCATACCCAACCTCGAAGTGTGGAACACCCGAGGCTCGAACTCGCGACCTGTTAGTTAGAAGTCCACGCCTCTAACCACTGGGCCACGAGCCCGTTGTCCTGTCGGTTTTCGATCGGGAATATACGATGCCTATCATGCGCCGCTGTGCGGCTGCTGGTTGGGCTCCAGAGAGAGCCCGTAAGGCACAACGGAACGAGGCTGCCAGCTTCGGCGTAATCGCTGTCATCTAGTGTGAGGACTTTTCAGCTTTGTTGGTGCAAACGCAGTGGAGAGACCTGGGAGGTTCGGTCAAAACCGCTTCCACGTGACGCGTCAAACTGCAAACCGTCGTCCAAGTTACACAGGACTCGACTCCCCAAACCGTCTGCACTGTTTTTGCGCCAAACCGAAACGGAAGTCATATCGGCTCACGGCGTGCGCTAGTCTGACTGCGCTCGGTCTGCGTGATTTCCAAACTGCGGCTGATGCCCATCCAACTTCTGATCATAGGTTTCATGCGTCCCCGTAGTGCATAGTCGTACACGTAAACCTTTCTGCTAATCAGGAAATGTACTGTTTAGTAGAAAAGTTTGCTTGTGCCCGGTCAAGACTGGACGTATAGAGTTTTTGAGGTTTAGCCACGAGGACCGGCACACTGGAAATGCCACATTCTCGTTCGGTACAGCCGCCTCACATAAGCGCGGGAGAAGACGCGGACTCTGTACACCAGGGCGCGTATCACGTTTATTAGCCGTCGCCAGCCAGCCAGCCATACGTAGCCAGGAGGTGTGCAACCCCTGTTGGTTAAAAGTCCTTGTCCCAGGGGTTGCACGCCTCGGGGTTGAGCACGAATGGCTGACGATGGCCAATATGCCTGAAATGGCAGACTGAATTGGCAGACATTGGATACTTCATACTGACCCAACTGTGAAAAACTCGGCGCTTCGGTGGGATTCGCAACCACGCAGCTAGGGGAAGGCTTCAGTACGGCCAACTCCCTAACCACTTGAACTACGAAGTCCCTGCGGACGACGCGAGTTTAATCGCACTTGGGTCAAATTACCCGCCCAACCTACTTAAACGTCTGGAATCCACCAAATCTGATACAGTAAGTTGATTGCCCAAGCAGGATTTCCTAAGTAATTCATCCAGAATCCACCAGATTGCTACCAGGCTTATGTAAGTCATAGTTTTTTTTGGCAGACTTCGAATAATTCATATTGACCCAACTGTGAAAAACTCGGCGCCTCGGTGGGATTCGAACCCACGCAGTAAGGAGAAGGCTTTAGTACAGCCAACGGTCTAACCACTTGAGCTACGATGCCCCGCCGGACGACGCGTGCGCTTGACCCAAATGGGATTAAACTCGCGTCCTCCGGCGGGGCCTTGTAGCCCAAGTGGTTAGAGCGTTGGCTGTACTAAAGCCTTCCCCTTACTGCGTGGGTTCGAATCCCACCGAGGCGCCGAGTTTTTCACAATTGGGTCAATAGGAAATATAAATCTTTGTTGGTAATGCTACTCAGCTTATATCACACGTCGCTGCCTGGCTGCTAGCGGAGCTCGAGCTCCAAGTGAGTTCCGTAACACGATCATTGACGCCGCCTGCCGAAGTAGACACTTCCAAATACCTCGGGGCGAGACTACTGCCGAATCGACGGAGTAAGGATGGCATTGTCTCCCGATTTGCTGCTGCTCTTAGGGTTTTCTCAATCCTATGAAGGACTTGTTGACCCAACACGACGTCTCCATTACCACAAAGATCTGCGTTTACTATCCATCCATTCGGTCATTCCTCGTCTACGGCTTTGAACGTATAAAGTGAGCGAAGACTGGAGGTATTTAACCAGCGCTGCGTGAAGACCACCCTTTGAGTGAAGTATATCGACCGTGTTTCAAATGAGTTGGTCCTCACTCGTTGCGACAACATCACGAAGATATCTCTGGGCCATCCAAGAAAGACGACTGAGGTGGTTCGGGCACATTTTCCGTCGCCCGTCCCACTAACTCGGTTATACTACCTTTGATCCGGCACCGTTGCCTACCCGGGTGACGTTGAAGGGGAGGTCGACTAAGGACCCGAACCGGACACGGTTTGTCGAGATATGGAAGCGACTCTTCGATTCTCCGTTTCTGAAGAAGACAATGCGTCGAGCTGCCCAAATGCTCTGTCGCAGACCATCACGCCTGTGAGGGTAAAATACGTGACATCATCGATGCCGGCTAGATCAGGAATGATCACAGCCGCACCAACTTCTCTGAATGCGTGCCACAGCCTCGGCCTCATCAAGACGCGAAATCCGCATTGTTTGAATTTCAATGACAGAATGTCGTTTGATTTTGCCGTTTGCTACCTTAAGTATTCAGTGCCCTGAAGAAAAGGCTTGGCGGTTCTGTGCCAAACACTTCCACCACATTTCACACTCCTGATTGAAAGTTTGCCTGAAATGACGAGTCGTAACCTTCCTTGCTCTGTCTCGAGGTTAAGCAGCTGGGGTCAACTTCCACCCCTCTTAACTGTCGCTTTTTGCGAAGGTCAAAGATGCTTCTGCCTCCCGCCTTCTCTGAACGACGCACATTTTTCCGCAAGCAACCACACTCATAGTGATGACCCGGTTAATCCAACCGGGTCGCTTATGAACTCTTGATGTGCCTGTTTCCGGTAACCCGCACACGCTTAACTTGCATGATTTCACTACGCGTGTTGCGATAGTACCCTGTGCAGGCGACAAGCGTTGTACGGAGTGTTATACGGGAAGCATGCCCTTCGTCTCCTACTCCATGTAGCTTCTATGGCACTGAAGCGCATGTGAGATCCAAGCAGCCCTTCCCCGTCGCGCAAAAACGTGATGTTGTGCGGGGGCCAGTTTGTGTGTGGCACGCGCAGACGGACATTTGAAGTCAGTCACACTCGCCCAATCCCCACATCAGATAACTGAGACCGACTCTCCCCTCAGCGGTTTTCGTTACATTTCCTAACCTGATTAAAGTTGGTGTTTTATTTGAAGTAGCTAACCTCAGACGAAGGCCATGCAAGCTCGGAACACGAGTACAGTCTCTGAGGTGGACCGCTATCAGAAGATGCGGAGTAATTGTTTTATCAGCTTTTTCTTCGAGGGTCTAGCTTCCGCCAGGAAGCTGCGGAGGCACACATAGTGCCCGGGTCGTCTGTGTTCTGTGTCCGCAACTATTGGATAGTACATGTGTACTAAGGTCCCATGTGACCCCTGTTTTAGATGTGGTTTGATTTGCCGAGGACGTCTAATGGAACCATTCTCGTACCACTGTCCCCCGTCTCCTAACCCGTACACTCAACAGTCTGCTGTACCGTCTGGTCGATTCAATTGGCCTGCCCGCAACCTGCATCCACTCGTGTCGGTCATGACACGGGCCTGGCTGGCCAGATCCTTTTCGTGATTTGATTTTAGAACAGTGCAAGTGCATGCTTTGCTTGTTGCACTCCGTTGTATTTCCCACAATTTTTCGTCTTCCTGAGCACTTCTAGGCACTTTGTTTGTTAGTGTCAATGTTATTTTTGTCAGCCGCCATCTTCTGGGTATACGCTTGTTAGTGGATACTCAAAAACGCTCATGAGTTCCCGCATTTTAATGACTGACGGGATTTCTCATCATACCGTTGTGTTCTCCTATTTGATATCGGCGCACGTTTCTGCAGAACCATTACATGCAATGAACTGTTGTCCGCTTTCGTGTTAAGATGCTTGCTATCATGCTGACATCAAAAGTTTGTTGAAGCAACGTATACTACTTAAGTGGTTTGACAGTAGTGTCTTCCATAAGAACCGCTGGAAATAGTACCGACTGTGAACCAGCGTACTATACCATGTAGGAACTGAATTGAGACAGTGTTCATCTTTAACACTATTTAAACGCTACTTGAGCATCGTTCTCCAGACCCCACGCAGTAGATCTGGTGGAACACTGGCCGAAATTTCAAATGTCTTTACATTGAAAAACTACTTAACCAGGGATGCCTATCTGCTTAGCGCGAACCGTAACCGCAATTGTTTTCGTGCTTGACTGAAGCCCTTTTAACAAACTTTATCCCCTAGAGCCATCTAGAAAACTGTATCCCCCTCAAACCCTCCGCCTTATGAAGGTGTGCATTTTGGTTCCCGAAAAGGTTTGATTCTTAAGATTTTTGAGACGCGTAGCTTGTATTGGTAAGGCCTACTACGCCTGTCTACAGACCGCGCGACAATCCATGAGTACTAGGAGCCTTCTTCGTCGGGCTACGTCTATTTGTTCCCACTGTATGCTGTTTTGTAGCGACACGGTTACGTGTAAGCTCCTTATCCGTTGCAGAATATACAGCTATTGGTAAACTTTTCAAAAATTTCCCTGCACCTTTGATGCAAAATTCCAAGAATTTGTCTCATATAAAGTGAGCACGGGAAGCTAGTTATTTGCATATCCTTTCTGTAAAACACCCTTACCTTTATTAATGACATAGTAATAAATAGGAATACTGAACACTCCTCAAGTGGCGTCGTTCGGTTGAAAGCCAGCACGCAGCCTGAAGGTTCCATTGCACACCCCAGACTTAACCATTTTGGTGCGTGTCTAGTGATTCCCAGTGGGCATTGTGCCTTAAGTAGTTGCCGTCAGTGTCCAGCATACCTCGCCAACTAGCCCCGCGCCCACATTTTGTCTCCGAACACTTGTTTCCAAGTACAAGGAAGGTTTTGACAGCCTTTCTGCGAACTTGGATTGTGTTAGGGTCCCCAGTTTACCGTACTTGTATTTGGGGCGGCTGTGGTCATGCCTGACCTCGATGGTGCCACGTATTGTACCCCTCTAGCCGTGACGATTTGTGCAGAGTAAATGAGCAGCTCGACCCATCCTCTCCCCTCAGCGAGGAGACCGAATACCGAAGGTTCAGGAACCCTTTTTTGTGTGTCTTGGTCGACCGTTTCGAGCCAAGTCTTGAGTTGACCTCCTCTTCGACGTCTCCAGGCGATCAGCGACGCCGGATCGAAGGCAGCATAACTTAGTCCGTGAGGCGGACGATGGAAAACGTGCCCAAGTCACTTTAGTTGTCCTTCCTGGAGGACTTGAGATATCCTCCTCAAATACCACTAGTCTTCGCCCATCTACGCGCAATGCCCAGCATTCACAACCGTAGAGGAGGACCAACCGATCAGATTGCACGGTACAGGCGGATCTTTGTAGCGATGGAGATGTCGCGCCGGGTCTGTAGGCTTTTTCTAAGGATTGAGAAAACCCCGAAAGCAGCATTAATTCGTGAGACTGTCGTCCTGACTCGGTCCATCGGCCGGCAGCCTCTCTCCGAGGTAGTTGAAATTGTCTACTTCTTCAAATTCACAGTCATTACTCCCGGTAGGTGCCTCCTCCTGATCAGTAATGCAGCTTGAGAGCAGTCTGATCTTCCGAGCTTTATGAATAAACCGACCGAAGCAGCGACTCCATTCACTGGTGTCATCATCAAAACTGGAGGCTAGCAAGGCTATATGGTCGGCGTAGTCTACATCAGTCAGCCGGCGTCCGAGTGCGAACTCCATACCTTCTAAACCACGTAGGTCCCTTCCGAGAATCCCGTGAATGGTGTAGTTTAGCAGAATGGGCGCTGGATGCACCCTTTTTGAACACCAGATCGGGAAATATTGTTATGGACGAGAACTCACGCAGTGGTGGAGCAATGGTAGGGCATGCTCATGGTGATGATTTCGGCCGGCGCACCATCTGGTCCCATTGTTGCCCACTGGAACTCACGTTGAACGGAATCGAACGTAGTGGCAGAGTCAACAAAGTAGTTTAGCATATCCCTAGCTGTCAATCTTTCCGCATCCCATGATATCTGTCCAAGTGACTCAGATTACTGCGAAGCTCTGTCAATAGCTTTTGGACACTGCAGTCATTTTCGCTTGCCGTGCATGTTAATCGTTCTGGTTGTACACCCCTTTGTGGCGCAATCTGCGTTTTCCGTTCAAACACACGCAAAGTACACACATGTAGCGACCCAGGACGTCAATGATAGCACACATCGAAGTAACGAAGCGCTGGGAAGGGGTCTTGGCAAAGACCGATCGGAGAGAGTGGAGAGAGAGAGAGAGAAGCAGACGTTAGTGTGAGTTGCGGGAAAGGGATCGGCGGTAGGGTGAGGGAAGGGCACCGGCCATTTTCGCCGACGCGCAGCCACACCATCACCATCCTGGGTCCGCGCGCCTCAAAAGTGCCTCTTCATTCAAACAACTCCATACAGATGGTGGGGCGTTGCACATTGTTGTACGTTTGTTTCCCATGCTGCTGTTCGGCCAACTTTATTGGAGCGAAGAATGGGTTCGTGCCTCTGAGTCTCCTGTTCCGAGCTATGTGCATAAATTAGGCGAAACGAACAGACGGTTGATTTCGACTCATTCTTTGAAGACTTGAACCCGGAGGTCTGATTTCATAAACAACCCAAAATCATGCCACTCTTGTTTACCCAACATTTCAACTCGCAACCTATGTGTCTTTTAAGCGACGAGTGCTCATAAGGTTAGTGGACTTCAAGTGCTTTTTTTAGTCACGACCTGTCAGCGATGGAATGAATCAACGCATATTTTGCGGCCGTGGCTTTATCTTCCCCATCAGACATTTGGGTTAGGTTCGCCAAAAAACACTGGATATTCGCTAGTCGACTTGTGCGTTTTTTGTTTTTTAGTAGTTCCGCGGTTTGCCCTGTCTTGAGACATTCTTGACGTACTTCCTACTGGTCTTCTCGAATCCACTAGGTCGTCTTTTCTGGCATACTTCGCGTCCGAGTCCGTCAATTCGGTGACGCCTTCGTCGAGCCCTTCTCAGAGCCCACAACGACAGGCAGCTCGATAGTCCTGCTCAATCATCGTACTCGTCTTGACTGGATTTACATCTGGTGCCTGGGCACCTTCCCTCACTACGTCAAAATTGTCCTGAAGGCGGATCTGGGGCAACTGCCAGGCGTGGGTTGGGCTATGCACATGGCAAATTTCATCTTTCTCAAACGCAAAATAGCTGCTGACGAAAAGCACATGCGGGATGTGGTCGATTACCTGCTGCGGCTTGACGGACAAGCTCATGTAAGTCCGCCTGTCTGCCACATTTACTCCTCCTCCTCCTCCT